TTTTTTTTTTTTTTAATTAAAAAAAAAAAAAAAAAAAAAACTAATAATAAAAAAAAAAGCCTTTTGGCTCCAACTTAGCTCCATATTATTGCTACATATTGTCCTTTGGAGCCAAACACAAACATTTTTTATATTATTATTTTTAGATTAAAATCTTAATTTAGTTTCAAAAGTATATTTTTTTTCAGTAAAAAAACAAACTGTTTTTAATACAGACTTTTGGCTCAAAGTTAGCTCCATATTAATGCAAAATATTGTCCTTGAGAGCCAAACACAAACTTAATTTTCTTTTATTTTTAGATTCAAATCTGTATTTTGATTTCAAAAGTTTAAAAAAACAAAACAAAAAAAGCCTTTTGGCTCCAACTTAGCTCCATATTATTGCTACATATTTCCTTTGGAGCCAAACACAAACATTTTTTATATTATTATTTTTAGATAAAAATCTGTATTCTACTTTCCAAAGTATTTCTTACAGCTAAAAAATAATGTTTTAGCTGTTTTAGTTAGCATATTACATATTATTTTGGATCTGATTGTAGGGGCTTGCTTTGTATTCCATATAGGATCCAATTAATTTTTCGTTTTGTAGAATTTGTCGTGTGAATAATGAGGAACCTCTGAGGTAAACAGATGAACAAATTTAGTTTCCTGGTTGTTTCTAGAGGTTAAAAATTGAGTTAAGCTGCCAAATGTGTTGAAATAACATCATTATCCTTTATTTTAAACTTCCTCCAGCTGACCAGCGGGCAGCTCGCTCGCTCGCCGTCTGACTCACATCGTGGTATTCTCCGTCTGAGTCCAGGCAGCCGCACTTATCTAGAGGAACACACTGGCTATCGCTGAGGACGAACCCAGCGTCGCACTGGCAGCCCTCCACACAGGTGGTGGGTGGGAGGTGGCAGGTGATGGGGAACAGGTCTGAGCAGGTGGGCGGGCAGGGCGGCGTGCAGTCAGAGTAGTGGCTGTTGGTCGGGCAGGGCAGCGCTGCGAAGAAGAGCGAGGAAGAGTGTAAAACGGGAAGCTTTAAGCTGAGCTGTCGGTGTGGGAGAGACTTACGGCAGAAGGTGGCGTTCCTCCAGCTGATGGTGACCCCGGCGCTCTGACAGGCCTGGGCGTAGGCCTCCACGTTATCGCACAGCGTGGACTGCATGCCGTCATACTCACACATGTCGTAGACGCAGTTACCAGTGAAGGCCTCTGGGGGCACCAGGGCGTGGCAGGGCTTGAAGCGGTCGGACTGGAGGATCCCTGTGCACTGGGCCTCGTACAGCGTCTCCTCCGCCTCGGTGCAGTTAGGGTGGACGTCGGGACGCGTGTCTGGCTGACAGCTGCAGAGAGGAACAGGCTTTGATGTTAGCTCCGCCTCCGGAAGATGTTCGTCTTTGAGTTCCGCTACTCACCCGGGGTCGCTGTCTCCCTCAGACTTCCAGCTGTTTCCCAGCTCAATCACATCCTTTGCTGGTTTCTTATTGGGCATCAGGTAATCATCAGACTTGTTGTGGTTGAAGTTTCCGCACATGCCGCACACCTGTTGAAACCAAAGCAGCGTTATATGCGCAAATAAAACGGAAAACCATCAGATTCCAAAAAAGGTTAAAAAACAATCCTCTGAACTTTTTTACTAAGTTTGAAGACGTTTCTCTTCCATCCAGGAAGCTTTTTCAATTCAAAATGTCAGAAACAGCGTTGAGTTCCAGGTTTTATACAGTAACCCAACAAAGCCTGGTTTTTCAAACTTTTCTGGAATGACGATGATGATGATTGACTGAGACTCTCCACCAGAGACACCATCAGATGTCTACCTACCTTGTCGTAGTATTCTCCAGGAATAGTGATTTCCAGGTGATGGACTCCATCAAACTTCACCTGCAGACCAAAGTTCGTGTCTAGAAGAGTGAAGGTCCCACTTGTTATCACTTTGGCTCCAGCTGCCTCGATGGTGAGCGGGGTTTTCACGCGCCGCCCATTCAACTAAAACGCCACAGTAAAAAAAAAAACATTAGACGATTGTGGTTTTTTTTCCCGGCTTTAAAACGTCTGAATGAATCTGAGAGTTTACCAGAACTCTGCGGCTCTTCTGAAGTTCAACCACGGTGTCGTGAGGCAGGAAGACGGTAGCGGAGCGGACGTAGGAGGCCTCTGGCTGACCGCGCTCCTCATTCTTTGCCACCACTCTGAAAGGAGTCACCATGTTGGCATCACAGACCTGCAGGGTTCAGAAACAACACAATCAAAATTAACGTAGAGTTCTAATACAAGAATCACATCAGAACAGAAATAGATCTGAACACTTTCAGCTAATAAAGTAGAGCAAATAGTACATGAATCAGTGCTGAAGCTCAACATCCACCTCATTCTGGGAAATTCTCGCCTA